GCCACCTCGCGCTCATTATGAACAATGTTCCAGGAGCCGGTACATATCAAAGCTGGTATTTTAATTACATATCCGAGCCATCGTGTTTGTTACCTTCCCAAATGAGATGAAACAATTCACAAATGACAGCATTTGCCAAAGCCTAGGTAGTCTCATCAACAGTGCTTCAAATTATTGTCCTGGATCGCAGTCTTGAATCACTTCACCGATTTCAGCTCTTATCGCTACGCATAAGGGTAGATTCGTAGAGAGATTTGAGATCCAAGTACTTTGCATTCCTGCTGTTAGTATTCCCATCACCGTCCATCCACCCGTGTGATTACGATTCGTGTGTATGTTTTCGCAATCTGCCAGTCATCATTGTGACTGGTACACGGGACGCTAAAACATTAATTTCTGTCAACCAAAATGTTTGATTTAAAGTTAGAGCTAGTATTATTTTCAGACGGTGAATTGACAACAGTACGAAGAGTCATGCGTTATTAGCATACGCGGACCTATGAACATATTTTGTTATTTAAGGAGCACCGTGTAAAGAAAACTAGTGGCTGAAACGTCATCCATGCGAGGCAAAATTATGGGAAAAACATCTGGAACTCTAGGTTCTCAAAAAAAATTGCCAGGAGCTGTCACCTGCTTAAATGCTCCCTTGCTAGGCACTAAGCAATTAAGGGAAAATGCTTGGCGTATTACGCCGTAAAATCTAGTCTTACCTCTTGGAAGAGTCATGCAGTAAATTACATCACTGGAATATCTTAAATTTAAGTTCGAAATATTCATTAGGACACGGACTTGAACTTGCTGTACTATAAGCGGAATCAATTTTCGTTTTTGTACAAAACTCTCAGTCTAAAAATCAAGTACTGTGACAAACCGAAGAGTGCGAGCCAAAATTCTGATGCCGGGTTCACAGTGCAGTCGTCATTTCGGAATGCTGGTAAAAATGATTGAAACAAGTTCGGTTTTCTCTTGGTTCATATTACTATCCTGTAATAGACAGTTATGATAGGT